CTGTGGACTAGCTGGACTCTGCCCGTTTCAGGGTTGCTATTAGAGCCCTAAAGGGCTCTGAGGTAAGGGGCCTTAGGTTAGGGACAAATGTGCCTTTTAGCCGCTTTTGCTATACTCGTATCTGTATTCAACCATTCAGAGATAGCAGTTATGCTATAACAGTTCGTATCAATATCCTTTGAGATGGATCCAGTTGTTACACATCTGTCTGTACCCTTAATGAGGTGGCTGTTCCTATAGTTAATAAGCACTGTTTGCACTAGGGAGGTGAGACTGGAAGGGGCCTTCTGATCCCTGGAGTCCAGTACCCTGTATATGTGAGCAACCACATAGCAAAGATTCCCAAAAACTGTCCGTTTCAAACCTCATCCACAGGGCACAAAACCAGAAGCCAAAGTTAAAGCAGGGGAAAGGAGGGAGCTGCTGCCCCCTAATGGTCACATTGATCTGTCTCCACCTCTAATCCAAAAAGAATCTGGTTCTGCTTGTCCTTGACAAGTCCTGAAGGCCTCTGTGCTGCAAGGGAAACTGCCATGTGTGCCGGCGAGGCTTTGATTTCACTCCCTAATCCCCTTTCTCCCTCTCCTCCCCCTTGTCAGGCTTTCTCAGCCTTTTTCTACACAGTGAATTTTATCCAAAGCGTAATGAAGAGACATGTGGCCTCGCCCAGGGACCTGGAAGAAGCAGCCCAAGCCATCTGCAATACCACGTGGTCCCAGGTGGGTTCCCAGCAGTGAGTGATTCCACAGGGCTGTCATCCACTTGGGGAGATCAGCCTTTATCTGCTCAACTTCTCGGCCCTGTTGGTTTCTGCAACCTGGCAGCCACAGTAGCAGGGGGTGGTGCATCCTGTCAGATCTCCCAGGTGACAGGGCTGGAGTCTGGACAGGAGCCCTGGAGCCCTGACCTTTGGGGTGGGGGCAGGGTGCTTTTCCCTTTCAGCAGCTTCCCTTGAGATGCTTAACACCAGCAGTGGGGGTGACAGGTGCTGTGTGGGCACTAAGTTAAGGATCCCCTGGTTGGCTCTTCTTGTTCCTTCAGCACTCGTGAATTGTCATGAAGGGGAATGAGAATTTCTCCCCGCCTTTGGTGCTAGAGTCATGCTGGGCTGTGGAGTGCAGCTGGTGGACATTTACAGCATTTACCAGCGTGGGTCCCTGGGAAAGGACTGTGCACTAGTTGACACTCTGTAGCTCCCATAGCCAAATTTGGCCCATACTCCAGTTTCTGGCATGTCTCCTATCCCTGCCCCTGCCTCCTTCATGCTGGGGGCCTTTTCCTTCTTTACCCCTTGTCTCCCCCATCCCAGGGTGCCCAACTTTCCAGTGATGGCATTCACAGCTCATCCATGCAGGGACTCTGTGTGCCCTTCATTCTCCCATGATTTCTTTGCTCCATCTCTGAGAGATCCATCAGTCAGGATGTCAGCAAACCTTCATCCTAGTTCTTTGTGAGCCTGTCTGTTCTGTAAGGTCCCTGGTGCAGCCTGTCCTTTGCCTAGAAACAAGGAGGAATACGTGCTCCATCTATCCATGATTCCAGAGGCACGAAATGCCTTCACCCTGCCTTGACTGCCAGAGACATTGCTTTCCCCCAGCCTCGGGGCTGGATAGCACTGGGAGCAGGGAATTAACCAAGGGTCTCTGTCTTGAGTGAAAGGACAGTTGTAGCCATGCCACTGTTTTTATCCTGCATATCATAGATGGTGACATAACCCTCTGACTGGGCAGGGCCTGTTGTTGGCCCCTACAGAAGCTGGCAATGTGCAGAGCCTGGCCAGCGCGCACACATATTCCATGAGCTGACTTGCAGGGCTACAAAGAACTTGGATTTGAAAGAGGTTTGAGGTCTGCTTCACACGTACTCATGCCCCTTCCAGAGCAAAGCCTGGGGCACATCACAAAGGCTGACTGAGTGCTCTCAGTTCCTGTGCTGAAGCAGGAATCCTTCTCCAAACTCCTCCTTGCAAGGTGCTGGGATTGTGCTGGGTGGGAGAGATGACTCAGCTCTCTCCTTTCTGCCCCTTCTACCACCCCCCCCACCCCCACCTTTGGCTGTCCAGCTGGTGGAGTTAGCCCCAGGCCAAGAGAAGAGGCTACCAGACTACTGCATAACCAGCACCTTTGTCTACCTGCTGACCACCAAGGGCTACCAGTTTGATGACAGCACATTCTCCAACATTGCCTTCCAGAAGAAGGTGAGTGTATGAGCTGCCGGGGGCTCTACACCGACCATGGCCTTCCCGTGGCTCTGTCATCCAGTACCTGAGTGCACCTCTGGTTGGCTGACACTTTCTGGCATGCGGAAGCTCCGTTGAATGGCTTCTGCCCAGGTCCCTGCAAGAGATGAGCTCCAGCCTCAAGAAAAGACCATGAGCAGGGAGTGTCTCAGCAGGGAAGGCAGGAGCCTGAGTAGATAGGGTGCAGCTGTCAGCTTTGGGGTGACCTGGGTTGTTACTTCTGTGAGATGGAGAGAACTCATCAAAGGAGGAGGAATATCAGTGGGACAGGGGAGTGTGGGTGTGTTTTCATGGGCACCCACCCCCTCTGATGTAAGCTTTTGCTTCCCAGCTGTTGGGGATGACCCAACATGCTTTTATGTTGGGTTTTAAGGTATCTTTGTATCATTTGTACGGATCAGCATGGGAGCAGGTGCCTTTCTTTAAGTGACCACAAAATGCAGCTGTAGGTATTCTCAAGCTAACATATGAAGAAGCCATGGCCACTGGGCTTTCATGAACTTGCTGTCTATACCCAGCTGGGAGATATCAAAGGAATTGATCAGAAAGAAGTAGCTTTGAAATGAACAAAAGGAAGTTCTTTTCTGTACAGCCTGTGATTAACTGATGGTAGTCATCATCACCACAGGATGTTGTAGAAGCCGACAGTTTAACTAAGTGCAAAAGGACAGGCCAAATTCAAACAGGATAGGTCCATCAGTAGGTATTAAACACAGTTGTAGGGCTGCAACCTCCAAATTAGGACTTCCTAGGCTTCAAAATGCTTGAGGGTATAAAGAAAAGCAAGGGACAGCTTAGTCTGGACAGGTTTATACTCCTCCCCTGAGCATCTGTTCTGTGCCACTGAAGTCCAGGTCACTGGGCTATAGGCAAATCTGTGCTGTGAGTCAGTGAGGCTCCCTGACATTTCTCATCTGTTTCTGCAGGCTGGGGACACCTCCATCGGCTGGGCCCTGGGTTATATGCTGAACCTTACCAACATGATCCCGGCTGATGAAGCAGGCTTCCGAAAGGGCACTGAGTACAGCTCCTGGGTTGTCCTCATCCTCCTCTTTGTGGTGATAATCCTGATAGCGCTGGCAGCCATCTTCTGCCTCGTCCGACCCAACAAAGAGCGAGATACTATCTAGGCTCAGGGCTGGGAGGGACCAAGAGACATGGCTTCCTGGAGTCAATGGAGCTCCACTGACTCTGGAGGGCTCTTCTCAGCCTAAATCCCTCAGACTGAATGACACTGGGAGACCTTGTCCCTCCCTGCACCTGAAGCACTGTACCCCTGAGGGGAACCAGTCCTTTTCCCTCCATTTGCCCCTTGCTCAGACCCTGAGGAAGCAGGGTAGAGGACAACTGACACCTGTGGATCATGGATGGGATTGGGGCCTGGATACTTATAGCAGGGCAGCATCCTTGCCTTCCCACCAGATTGAGATTTGGACACATTACACAGGGCCAGCAAGACCCAGGCCACAACTGCGTCCCACCAGAGGGAAGGAACTGTTGATACTTGCATTCATGGGAGAAGGGAGGGAGGGATATTACATATCTAAGCTTCTTGGTAAAGCTTTACGCACCAGTCCCCCTGCCTGGAGCCCTGTCTAGGTCCTTCAAGGGATCCTGTGAGATGTGGGGAACCTGGTGTCACCCAGTGCATGACAAGATCTTCCTGAACAAGGACTAAATCTGGCACGAGTGAAGTCTGTGGCAGCTGTGCCATAGACCTCCATTGAGCCAGCATTTGTGCCCAGCCCCTGGAGGCCAATCTACCTCGCCTCAGCAATGCCAGGGTGTACTTTGACAATCCAGGTTGAGCCAGTGCCCGCACGGCTCCCACCCTCAGCAACACACAATGCAGTGCCTTTTTCCTTTTTTGTTTACAGAGAGGTCTGCCCTTGGCCACTCCTGCCAAATGGGGATGTGCAGAATGTGGAAGTGATGGGGGAATGAATCAGGAGGGGTCCTGTGTACCTCAGCTAACAACCTAAAGCCTCCAGTTGCTGTGATGGAGAAAATGCTCAGGCCTTCCCCAGTGTGGCTGTGGCTCTTCACAGGACCCAGTGGGTCACACTAGGAGGCAATCGCATCTGAGAGCTACCTCCCCACAACAGCTGAATGGGTGTGGGAGTCGGGGTGGGGGGATACCTGTTTGTGTTTCCTGGCAGGAGCAAGCAGAGCTGTGTGCATGTGGCGCATATATGTTTTTCATGTATTAAAAATGTAAACTGTCCTGGTTTTCAATGAGTCAAATAAATGTAACTAAAGGGCAGCAACAACCCACATTGCCCTCTGCCTGCTACAACCTGTCTCACTGGCCTCTTCCTGTGGTGAATGAGTGCAAATCATTTGAGGACATCAGGCTGCACTGACGATGTCATGCCCCTAGGAAGTAATTCCAGCTGATGGATTCAGTCCTGCCTCTCTTGCTGGTTCTCAGCATGTTACTTTGCCAGAGCCCACAGCTGGGACTTCTGTGGTAGTGAGCATCAGAAGGAAGCTTCACATGGCTCACCAAGCATCCAGGCCTGTCTGCGCTGCCCCTACAGAGGCAGAGGCACAGCAACTTGCATTTAAGTCAGTGGATTAGAACGGTTGGAAAGCAGTGCAGGGGCGATGGTCTGCTCTGCTGAGAGTGAAGCAGCAGGCTACAACAAACTCCCTTCTGGGCCAGCAGCCATCTGGGAAACTTCATGTTCTAGCCCCCTCCCACCACCCGCCATCTCCTCTTCCCCTTGCGCACCGCTCGCTTTCTCCTGTGACGCACACATCTCTAATATAAATTTATTAAGCACCCAACAGCTGCTGCTGCTCCCTCAGAGGTCAGCGAGAGCTGAAGGTTCCCCACACTTCCCTACTGACTGCCAGGCCAGGGATGGCATGCTGCTATGTCCCTTGGTATCACCCTGTGGCTATAGCCCTGGGGACACATGCCACAGGAGCAGGGCTGAGCCACTATGGGCCCAGGCAAGTTGCTCAAAGCTTCCCCAGCTACTCCACTTCATCGCCGTATTTGTTCCTCTTCACCCTCGATTTCGCGTCCTCTGTGGGTTCTGGGCTGGGGAGTTTTTCTGTAAGACACAAAAGGAAGGTCTGGAAGTCTAGTCAACTGGCGGCCGCTCGCAACGCAATCCTACTGTGATGCACAACAGGCAGGGATATGGGAGGATGCCTGAGTTCAGATGTGTGTTCTCTGTTCTGCAACTGGTGTGTGTCAGTCACTGAACTCGACGCTGAGCAGCCAATTAGCTGCAGGCAGGAGCAGTCACAGGGAAGCCAGGCTAGCTCTTGGTGATGGCTGTTACACTCTGCTCGCATTGCATTGCTTGCTAAGCCATCCATATGCCCCTTCCAGTGCGGGGTCTTCAGCTTGGCCCATCCCATGCTCCCCCTTCCAGTGACACCATGCCCTTTACACTACTTCTCACAGTTTGAGGTATTCCCATGCAGCAGCATGTCAGAAATGAGAACGAGTCCATCCCTCCCGACTGAGCAGCCACAGACTTGGACACAGCAAACCTCCAGTGCCTGTTGCTTTGTCCTGGCTTTGGGTATGTGACTTAGCCAGTAGTGGTTGGTGCCCTCTAGCGACTGCTCCACAGAGACAGGGCCAGTGCTGCTGCCTAAGGATGTTCTCCTGTAAGAAGTGTCAGGTGCCTGTGCTACCCAGCTGTTGTAGTATGGGTGGGATTTACGCAGTTACGTGTCCAGGAAAGGAAGACACCAGTCTGGTGACATAGCCAAGTACAAGAGGCTACAGGCTTTAAGGAGCACAAGGGAAATGCAGTCCAGTTGCAAGCAGCAGCCCTGGAAGATGACCCGTGATGACATGCCATGAACTCCTCACCTCTGGTTTCTCCCTGTGGAAACTGGCCTGTCTCCAGGTAGATCCAGAGGTTGGAACACTTCTGGGTCTCTGCTTTGGTCACAGCGTAGCCAGCGATGGAACCTGCCACTTAACACACCAACAGCAAGAGTTTCCAAGCCATGATGGGCTTATCTGAGACAACAGTGTGTCCCAGGGAACACAGGGCTGAGCACGCCCCACCGAGTGTGCTGACACCCTCTGCAGCTGTGAGGTTCACTAGTGTGGCTTCTCCAGGCTTATCCCCAGGTGCTGCTCTCCAGCCCCCTGTCCCCAAGCAGGTGCTGGGAATGATCCTGGATCTCTCTTGCTGGCAAACTTTCTGCCGTGGAGTGGGTCAGCAGATTCAGGTAAGTAGGGCATACTCAGTCCTCTCTTCCCTAGAACTGGCTGCTGACAGCATGGACAAACCCACTCGAAGCAGGCACATCCCAGCAACTGGGGTCCTGCTAAGACTCAGGGGTGGGCAATTATTTTGGGCAGAGGGCTGCTTACTGAGTTTTGGCAAGCCATTGAGAGCCGCATGACAGGCAGCCCAGGGCAGATATGTATTAATTTTCTAAATTTTTTAGGGGCCTTGCAGGCCAGACAGAATGGCCTGGTGGGCCACATCTGGACCCTGGGCCACATTTTGCCCACCCCAGTGCTAAGTGCAACCAACTACTGGGGCAGCATGCAGGAGACTGTCTGCCACTCCAGTGCCAGCCTCATGCCTGTGGGAATCAGGAAGAAGGCGCTGGATGTCTGATGGTGCCACTTAAATGTATTCACTGGCAGGGTTCAGGGGCAACCAGGGGGCTTATTAAAATCACAGAGAAGCAGGGGCCTGCACCAAGTTGGAGCAAGGGGCCTTCTGTCCCAATAAAGAGCCTGGAGTCTTACTTCAGCTCTGGCTCTTGTGACCCACGGGCTGCACCTCAGCACCATGGACTGCTAAGACTGCAGCCTTTCTAGGGCCTGATCCTGCGCAGTCTCCCTAGGGGTTTGCAGGGTGGGCCCAGAGCCCCCTGAGCACTGACCCACAGACAGCAGCACCTTCCACTGCAGCGCGTAGGGCCACCTCTTGCTGATCATGTTCTGGAGAACGAGAACGACTCCAGTGCCTGTTAAAAAGACCCGGGCAGGTTAGCGGGTGGCATTTAGGGGAGCTGACTTCCTGCTGCAGCTTGTGAGCTCCTGGGGGTAGGGCCCTGGGCCTGGCAAGAGCCTGGCGCGCTGCGGGCCCCGCCAGTGGAAGCGCCCGCTAGCATTGCTGCCCGTACAAGTCCGGATCCCACGGCCTGGCTGGGACACGCCGCCCCGGGTACCAGCGCCAGGAAGGGAGGAGGACGCTAGTGCAGAGCCCAGGGGCGGGGCGGGGCGGGGCGGGGCAGCGGATGGCTGCGAAGCCGGGACCTCTAGTGCAC